TGACAGTGACCCTTGATGAGTATGGTGTCATTGAGAATATACCCTGGATGGTGGGATCCTGACGAGGGTTGGGGGGGGGGCAGGGGGGATATACCTGCTAACTGTGCTTTGCTCATTTACCTGAGCAGCCCAGAGGTGAAAACACATCACCCCACCCCCACGGCTGATTCTGGTCTCCTCACTACTCTGTGTGCCCCAGAGGCCAGATGGGGGCTGTGGTGACTGGGAACAGGCAGAGGGTCTCTAACTCAAGTAGCAACCCAGGTGGAAAAACTCCTTAAGGTCCAGAATGCCATGGGCAGTAAGGGTCCAGAACCAAACTGACTCCCTGGCTGCAGTTGTCTTTTCAATCAATGGGCCCTGGGCCTGCTCAGTGTCCAGTAGGGAGGAAAAGGTGTTTTCTTCAATGACTGAACACTGCTCTACTCAAACCAGTCAGGAGGGGGAGGGGGCTTTGAGCCAGTTGAAAGAATGAACTCGAGAAGGGCCAGTGAGCTGGAGGCTGGTCAGGCCCAGCCGTGGTCAGGTTTGGCCACTCCTGAGGGCCTCACTGTAGAATGGACATCTCTCAGAGTCAGGAGAGAAATGGGAAACAATCCCAGACAAACTCATCACTGAGCATCGCCAGAAGATTAACCTGCAGGTGATAGTTTGTCAGGATCAGCCGCAGCGGGGTGAGCTAAGGGGGGCTCGCAAATGATTCTGTCTGCCAAGCCTAAGGGGAGGGAACCAAGGAGGCAACAAGAGGCAGAAGCGAAAAACTAGGCAGGACCTCTGAGAGACCCGCTCTAGGAGGTGGACAAGATGGATGGGTCAGGAATCACCGAATTTGACAAGAATCAAATGTGAGGTTTGCTCTGACAACATGGTGACCAGAACCAAATGGCAACCGGCTGAGTGGACAGCAACATTCCTGGAGTCAGAGATCACCTTGTCCCAGGTGAGGAAGACAAGACTTAATGCCCACTTGGTGACAGGAAGCCACCAGGCTTCATTCCATGTTCCTTAACATTGACCCACGAACAGATGACTAGGACCAGACCAAGACAACTTCATAGCCCCCTTAGTCTAACCCAGGGCGCGGGTGTACCATTGCCTCACCTGAGGTTCGGAGAGTCCGCCCGGGAGCGCCCCCAGTAAGCTACTCCTATTTCCTTAACTTTATTTATATATCTCTGATCTTCTGTCTGACCCGGATGGGGTTCCCAAATCTCTCACCGAGCAAGAGACTAAGGGAAAGCAGGTTACCCGAGCAGGAATGGAAGGGGCTCACAGGAACGCTCGAACACTGAGCGTAGAAACGGGAATCACCACTGTGGGAGCACCTGAGAGCACTAGGCACCACTGCATGTTAGACGAAAGTTGTTACCGCAGAATCAAGGTAGCCTGTAAACAACCTACATAATTATGCTGTGAATTGCTACTGCCCGTTTGGGGGATAGCTGGGTAGAGCCTGCACACATGGAATACACTAGGATGCTTCCAGCAAATTCTTGGGTGCCACCTGTCTTGGTGATACTCTGTATGATCCTAAAAGGAAAAACTCCAAAGACAGTCGTTCAATGGGAGAACAGCTCTCACCACTGGCAAGGGGTGAGAGGGCTCAATCCGCTGATCCCCACAGTCTCCCAGCTCCCCAAACCTCTAGGAAAACCTGGACTTGGTGTTTCCAGAGCCCAGGGGCCCAGAGGCAGGACACAGAGAACTAAGCCCAGAGCCCCAGTAGAAGCTTCGAGAGGGTGTGCAGGATATGTGTGAGGTGTGAAGATCCATGAGAGTGAACGGGCGGCCCCAGGCCCATGGTGCAGTTAGAGGGGAAGGGCTATGAACTGGGCACCCAGGGGTAAACCGGGACCTGCCTGTGCCTGCCCTGAACAGCCCTACCAGGCTGATCCCTGGTGCCTCCCCGATCCCTGGTTCCCATCCAAGTAGGAATGTGACAGGCAGGAAGGAGCATGGCTGACCAATTTCCTGGAAATTACTGGAACAGGATGGCTCTGCCTTCTGAGGCTTTGCCATCTGGTCTGACACATCAATCTGGACACACTTCTTGTCACCAGTAGAGTGTCACTCAGCCAAGGCTGTCCCAACAGGTCCAGGTGTGCAGGAGCAAAGAGCAGTCAGGGCCTGGTTCTCTATTACATGGGGTCTGACCGTGCTGTGATGTTGGCAGTGGGACTTGTATTAGGGAATCTGATGGTCCACAAAGAAGTGGGGCGCTATTATCAGGGATCAGCTCCGTACAGCTCGGGGACACTAGAAACATGTTCCATTCACGGCCCCATCCTGCTCCACTGATAACACACTGTCTTCCTGCTGGGGTGGGTGCCATTCCGGGGGAGCCTGGCTGAGGGGACAGCACCTTGGACCCACCTGCTGCAGGAGCACTTTCAAGTCCTCATCCTGAGAAACCTGATGTGGCCACTAGGGGGCAAAGTGGGGTCTGTCCCTGGTGCACTGCAGAGGGGAATGGGGAAACAGGCACCATGGGCAGGGGAGGCCACGGAGGTGCTGCAGTGGAAGGCAGGGCTCTGGGTGCTGCATCCTGCCCTCCCTCCTGGGGACGCATCCGTGATTGAGACCTTCAACCCTTGGGGTGAACTCTCCTGGGGTCATTGACAGGCTTCACACAGGGGCAGGCAGGTGACGCGTCTTGGCATGGTGACATGGCCGAGGCTTCCCACAATCTAGAAGCAATTGTCAACTACTGGCCAGACCTGCCCCGCCCAGTGACACACACACCCACACAGGCCTGGGATAGATCCATTTATTGCAACAATCGTGAAAATCAGACAGTGGCAGTCAGGGAGAAAGCCCGCCTTCCTCCTTCCCCTCTTCTCAGCCAGCAATACAAAGTCCCCAAACAGCCCCAAAGAGTGTGTAGAATCCGGTCACTGGATGGTACCAGCGGCCAAGCTTCAGGGCTGTCATGCGCAGAAACAGGACCCCACAATGGGGAGGGGAGAGCTGAGTTGTGACTTCTGACCTCCAAATCATTGTTTGCTAGTGCTGGGGGGATATATCTGCCATCCTGATCCCCCGGATCTTGTGGAGGGGGACATTTCTTCCCCACTTTTTCCTGGGGCCTAGTGTGGAGGGGGACATCTCGGCCCTTCCGGTCCCTGGGGCCTAGTGGGGGGGACATCTCGGCCCCCCCGATCCCTGGCTTCCAGTGGTGGGGGGGCCTCTCTCTCTGGCCCCCACGATCCCTGGCGTCCACTCATGGGGGGGCCTCTCTCTGTGGCCCCCCCCCCGATCTCAGGCGTCCACTGGTGGGGGGGCCTCTCTCTCTGGCCCCTCTGATCCCTGGCGTCCAGTGGTGGGGGGCCTCTCTCTCTGGCCCCGCGATCCCTGGCGCCCAGTGGGGAGGACCTCTGTCTCTGCTCCCCCGATCCCTGGCGTCCAGTGGGGGGGCCTCTCTCTCTGCCCCCCCATCCCTGGCGTCCAGTGGTCGTGGGGGGGGAGTCTCTATCTGTCTCCTCCCAATCCCTGGCGTCCAGTGGTGGGGGGTCCTCTCTCTGGCGTCCCCCGATCTCTGGCGTCCAGTGGTGGGGGGGGCCTCTCTTAATGGCACCCCCCGATCCCTGGCGTCCAGTGGGGGGGGCCTCTCTCTCTGGCTCCCCCCGATCCCTGGCGTCCAGTGGTGGGGGTGCCTCTCTCTCTGGCTCCCCCGATCCCTGGCGTCCAGTGGTGTGGGGGCCTCTCTCTGCCCCCCCGATCCCTGGCGTCCATTGGGGGGGGAGTCTCTATCTGTATCCTCCCAATCCCTGGCGTCCAGTGGTGGGGGGGTCCTCTCTCTGGCGTCCCCCAATCCCTGGCGTCCAGTGGTGGGGGGCCTCTCTTAATGGCACCCCCCGATCCCTGGCGTCCAGTGGTGGGGGGGCCTCTCTCTCTGGCTCCCCCCGATCCCTGGCATCCAGTGGTGGGGGTGCCTCTCTCTGCCCCCCCGATCCCTGGCGTCCATTTGGGGGGGGGAGTCTCTATCTGTATCCTCCCAATCCCTGGCGTCCAGTGGTGAGGGGCCTCTCTCTCTGCCCCCCCCGATCCCTGGCGTCCAGTGGTGGGGGTGCCTCTCTGCCCCCCCGATCCCTGGCGTGCAGTGGTGGGGGTGCCTCTCTCTCTGGCCCCCCAGATCCCTGGCGTCCAGTGGGGGGGGTGCCTCTCTCTCTGCCCCCCCGATCCCTGGCATCTAGTGGGGGGGCCTCTCTCTCTGGCCCTCCCCAATCCCTGGCATAGAGTGGGGGGGTCTCTCTCTCTGGCCCCCCTGATCCCTGGCGTCCAGTTTGGTGGGGGCCTTTCTGGCCCCCACCCCGATCCCTGGCGTCCCGTGCTGGGGGTGCCTCTCTGCGCCCCCGATCCCTGGCGTCCAGTGGTGGGGGGACCTCTCTGGCCCCCCCGACCCCTGGCGTCCAGTGGTGGGGGACATCTCTGGCCCCCCCGTTCCCTGGCGTCCAGTTTTGGGGGAGACATCTCTGGCCCCCCATCCCTGGTGTCTAGTGAGGGGGGTCTCTGGCCCCCCTGATCCCTGGCGTCTAGTGGGGGGGACATCTCTAGCCCCCGATCCCTGGGGTCTAGGGGGTGAGACATTTCTGTCCCCCTGCTCCCGGGGTCTAGTGGAGGGGAAACTGTGCCCCCTGATCCCTGGGGGACCAGGGGTGGGGACATTTTTTCCCCGACATCTCTGGGTCTAGTGGAAGGAGATTTTACTGTCCCCCTGATATCCTGTGTCTTGAGATGGAGAATAGTTGTGCCTTTGCCCTGATCCCTGGTCTTGCAGGGAGGGATATCCCTGGTTCTAGTGGAGGGAGAAGAGCAAAGGGCAGAGGAAGAAGGCAGAACTCGGGTGGTGTGGGGAGGATGGGCTGGGCGAGATCAATTGGGTGAGAGAGGCAGGGTGCTTAGGTGCAGTAAAATCGAGGTGTCAGCTGGGTGTCAGGCTGCCAGTGGGGCTCTTGCTGACCAGCTGCGTTTTCTGGATTTTAGGCGGGTCATTACGGTACCTGGGTCCGATGTCGGTGGACTCCTCTTCCTTAAGGACAGCAACAGGAGCGTCTCCGTATCTCACACAGGTCATGGTCCCTGGCCCCTGGGACTGGACTGTCTCCTCCAGCTCCTGGACTCTGGCACTCCTCCTGCCTGGCCCCCTGCGCCTCCTCCTTCTCTGTGGCCTCCAGCTCCTCACGTTTTGTGTCCAGGAGCACCTGTGTGTTGTTTGTCTCCACGCCAATCCCTTTGGAGTGGATGGGATGTGGGGCAGCATTAGGGTCTCAGCCAAGCAAGGGAGGTGGGGGGCTGGGGGTGGGGCCGCCTGGCTCCCCTCTCCAGTAGCCCCGCCCTCTGACCCACAGGGGCTTCTCCCTGTCACTCACCCTTTTCCGGGTCTCCTTTCCCTTTCACCAGGTTCTGCAGCTGCTGTTTCTCCTGCTGAGTCCCACAGAAGAGCACCTGGGGTGAAGGCACTAGATGAGGAGGCAGGTCTAGGGCCTTCCTGCCCCAGAGCCCGTGGCCCCTCTCTCACCTGGTCTACCTCAGCTCCCTGATGGCAGCCTCCAGCAGGGCCTGCTGCCTTGGTGGCACCTGCAGCAGCTGGTCTATGGGCTGCTTCTGCCGCAGCATCCGCTGGTACAGCTGCTCCTCCTTGGAGCCCAGGTGACTGCGGGCATCCAGGTGCTCTTGTCGGCAGCTATGTGCATGTCCAGGTACCAGCAGATCGTCCCCAGGGAAGCCACTGGCACTGCACCTTTTCGTCCTGCCCTGGCATCTGTGGGAGGTAGGACAGTGTCTGTGAGGACAGGCAGGAGGGCCGACTAGATCCCGGCCAGGAGATGCAGGGCTCAGACCCTCAGCCACAGGCCCCCATGGCATCTTTGTCCCAGAGCCTAGGAGTTGGGTCTCCCTATGCCTCGGACCCTGACTCCTACCTGGCAACTGCCAACTCCAGACCCCTCTGTGTAGTGTGGGCCAGTCAGTGCCACCACAGCCTTCAGTTAGGGCATTCTGACCTGTCCTTCCTGCCATCACCCAAGGCAGGCTCTTGGCCTCACAGGGGGTCTCACCAGCCCATTTCAGAGACCAGGAAAGTCACAGCCCAGAAGGCTGAAGTGTTATGCCCCAAAAATACCTTAGGGTGGAGGGGAGCTGATGGCCAGCAAATCCTGCACCCTCTCACAAAACTCTTGGTGTACAGCAACTTTTCGTCGGCTCGCAATGAAGACATGTTGGAATGATAGGTGATAATTGGAGATGATAGGAGACTCGCCCAGCTCCAAGACTGGGAAATGTTACCCAGACCCCTTCCACTGTTGCTGAGACACAACTCAATCCTGGCAGGGCTCCCGGCTGGCCACCCCTCAGCCCTCAGACTCCAGGCGGTGCTGCGCCCGCTTCTCTCACCCTCGGCCCCCACTCGCATCCGCAGTTGTTCTCTGGGTTCACCCGTTGTTCCTGGAACCTCCTGCCTCCACCTGTCCTTGGAAATGTTGTCAACGATGTGACTGTTTCGGGGGCACCCAGAGGCTGGTAAACCTGAGAGGAAGCAGACAGTCAAGGACCCCAGACCTTCAACCGCACCCAAACTTCATGGTCCACAGCCCCGACTCTTGGTTCCTCCTGCTCATCTCGGGGGCAGCTCATTTCTCACCACCATCTGTTGCTCTGGGCCCCTTACAAATTGGATTCTTTCCTGGTTTGGACCCACTGGAGCCCTCCTGGCAGTGCTGGCAGGGACACGAGGGACAACTAGAAATAAGCGTTCTATGTCCCGCCCCTAGAGCTCTCTGCATTTTCATGGTCGTAAAATTCTGGGGAGTGGACAGCTGACCCCATTTCCTCTGGCTGCCCGCAGAGCAGGACACAGGTGCGGAGGGACGGGGAGAATCGCCCAGCTCCTGCTCCCAGCCTGTCTCCCCTGTCACAGTGCCCCATTCACAGGGCCCCTCCCTCAACACTCGAAGTCACTCCTCCCCGCCTTGCCCTCCTCAGACATCACAGGCTTCAAGCTCCTGGTGCTGTGCACCAGCCCAAATCACTCTCCCCTAAAGGATGACGCTCTGCCAAGCAATCTTCCGTCTTTATAAGATACACTTGATGTTTTAAAATTCTGTTCTTTCAGCTCTTTCTGTCCCAAACAAGAGGGAAGGGGTGTTTTCGCACAGTTAGACCCACTGCTAGGAGGGACTGTGATGAGGGGTCTGGGAGTCGGGGACCCTGCTTTGACTCTCCAGTTCCTCAGTGCTGCCCTGAGATCCCACCCCCATCATTTGCTGAGCTGGGTGGGCCAGTGTACAGCCACCCAGTTCTTTGATCAGTGGGAACCCAGGAGATCCTATTCTGGTGGCAGGAGGAAACTGGGCCTGGAGAGAGGGTCTCTGGGGACTCCCATCCCAGAGTCCCGAGAGACCCTGTCGAGGGCAGAAGTTGCTGGAGGACAAGAATGCCTGAAAACTTGGCTGGAAATGGCCGGCGGCTTTATCATGGGCCTCCTGGCCACACACTGACCAGTGCAGAACCAGCGCATGGCCCAGGGCTGGCGGGTTAGCACCGACCTAGCACTTTTTCTTCCCATCTTTTCATGCTCTGCCGATTTCCAATGATCCCCTAGGGAAAGGGTCAACATGCGGAAGGTGCATTGGGGCCACTTCTCCCTTAAGCCTCCTTGAGAGAGGGTGTCCCGAGGGGCGGGGCCACGAGCATTTCTATAGGCAGGGATGTGGCCGTGGCCTCAGGACACTCTGGGTGATTCCTCCCTGCCTTGCCCTCCTCAGACATCACAGGCTTCAAACTCCTGGTGCCAAGCACCAGCCCAAATCATTCACCCCTAACAGATGACGCGGTGTCATGTGACTCTCCGCCTTTACAAGATATATCTGATGTTTTAAAATTCTGTTCTTCCATCTCTTTCAGTCCTAACTTAGGGGGAAGAGTGTGGTCGCACGCTAAGAGGTTTTTGGCAGGAGGGTCTGTGGTGAGGGGTCTGCGCACCCGGGGACCCTGCTTTGACTCCCCAGCGCCACTGAGGCAGCTCCTCAGCATTCCCCTGAGCTCCCACCCCCATTGTTTCCTGAGCTGGGGAGCCAGTGTTCAGCCACCCAGGTCTTTGGACAGCAGAAGCCCAGGAGGTGCTATTCTGGGGACAGGAACGGACAGGTCCTGGAGAGGGGCTCTCTGGGGACTCCCATCCCAGAGTCCCGGGAGACCCTGACGAGGACAGAGGCTGCTGGGGACAAAACTGCCGGAAGACTTGCTGGAAATGGGCCCGGGCTTGATCCTGTGGCCTCGGGGCCATACACTTACCAGTGCAGGGCCAACGCAGGGCCTTTTCTTACCGTCCGTTGTGCTCTGCCAATTTCCAAAGATCCCCTAGAGATGACCCCTAGAGGTGACCCGTAGATGACCCGTGGAAGGGTCACCATCTGGAGGTGACCCCTAGATGACCCCTCGAACGGTCAACAGGGGGAAGGTGTGTTGGGACCACTTCCCTCTCAAGCATCCTTGAGAGAGGGTGCCCCGAGGGGCGGGGCCACGAGCTTTTTTTATAGGTAGGGATGGGGGCGTGGCCTCGGGGCTGCAACCCCACTGGCCAGGGGGAAACCTAGAGCTCCCGGGGCAACCTCAGGATGAAGGCTGCACCAGCCTCTGACCTGGTGGGCCTGACGGGCCTCCCCACCCCCACCCGGACCCTCGGGCACTGCCCCCTACCGACGATGGTGGCTTGGAACTCTGTGGGCCCCATGGTGGGCCAGGAGCACTGACCCTTTCGGTCTCCCATAGCTCAGTCCACGCCTTTCTCATTCCCAGAGATCACGTCCCCCTGTGCCCAGGCTGAGCTGCAGCTGCCAGGATTAGCCCCTGAGCACCCCTAGGTCTGGCCTGGCTGCTGCTGTGGGAGCCCAGCGAGCCTGGCAGAGGGGCTGTCCTGGTTGCTGTCCTCACCGCCCCTCCCTCCCCAGGCCCCTCTCCTTTCTGTCGTTGGAGCCCCTGCCCTCCCTGCCCTTCCCCTCTCCTCTCCTCGGGCCCGCAGAGTTCTTGCTCCCGCCATATCCGTTGTCCACGTTCGCTCTGTCCTTCTGTCTCTGCTTCCTCCCAGACTGGCAGCAGCCAGTTTGTGGGGCCTTTGAGCCTCCAGACCCAGTCAGTCCCTGACCAGTTCCCCGTGTTGCACAGAGACTTCCCTTTCTGAGCCCTGGAGGGCTCTTAATGACCCCACAGAATCTCCCCATCCCAGCTCTGCCCCTTTCTCTGAGACTCAGTCCATCCTATTGGGAGCTGGACACCAGACTTGGCCTTGCGGAAGCTGGACGCTTCTCTCATGTTGCTCCCAGCCTGTTCTGGAAATCCCTCTCAATACACACACTCCCGACTAGGGCCACTCAGCCTGGCCACGCTGCCCTCACGAGTCCTGCAGCCTGAAAGGAACCCCAACTCCCCCATATCGCCCGTGCCCACTATGGCACCCCCGAGTGCCCCTGTCCTCCCTTCCCTGAGCACATTCAGGCTCCAGTGGTCTGCGGCTGTCTCCTGTAGCTCTGACATCTCCCCCTCTCACATTCGCTGGGCTGAGAATCAAATCCATCTCTGATGGTGGGGCACAGGGTCACTGTGGGCTTGTGCTGTCTGGGGAGCTTGTGGGCAGTGAAGGGTTCCACACTGGGGTGAGGCTCTGGGCAGAAAAGGTCCATCCAGTCCTTGAGAGGCTTAGAAAATACCTGGAGGTTTGTAGGTCCTTATCCTGAAACATCGACTGGCCACTAGGGGTGGGAACTCACATAGCATTGGGGCAAGGTGGGGGGCTCATCCTGGGGGGCACTGCAGAGGGGGTATAGATGGGATAGGCACCATGGGTGGGCAGTGACAGGCTCTGGACATGGTGAGACCCCATGGCACGGATTCCTCATCATCCAGAAGCACGAGCCATTCCTGGCAGGACCTGCCCCGCCCAATGGCACACACCCACACAGACTATGATGGATCCACTTATTGAAATAGTCATGGTAACAGGATGGTCGTTGTCAGGGAGAGTGGCCCAGTCCTCCTCCTCTCTCTCCTCTGCCACCAATTTATGATTTCCTAAACTTCCCCAAGACATGCCTACCACTCAGTTGCTCTGACTTCTACTGTCTGATGCTACAGTAACTTATTAGTCCTTGTTTCTGGCAATTTTTCAGGTTTTACTGTTATTATTCAATCTCTATTATGTATAATAAAGTTTCTCTTTCTCCTCCTTCTTCCTCTCCCACTCTTTCTCTCTCTCTCTCTGTCTCTCTCTCTCTCTCTCTCTCTCTCTCTCTATGAGCTTCTTAAAGTTTTCCATTAGCAACCTCTTTTTGTTAGGAAATTTTTTCCGTGGTCCCTGATTTTGAGGTATGTAAAATAAGGATACAAATATTTATTTGATAAATCATAAATAAATTTATTTGATTTTTTCTTTCTTTTTGGGTCACATCCAGCGATGCACAGGGGTTACTCCTGGCTCTGCACTTAGGAATTACTCCTGGCAATGCTCGAGGGACCATATGGGATGCTGGGAATTGAACCTGGGTTGGCCGCCTGAAAGGCAAACACCCTACCTGCTGTGCTATCGCTCCAGACCCCTACGTCATAAATAAATTTAAAGTAAAACAAGTATCTTTTAAGTTATGCAAACCCCGTGTGTAGTCTTGATCTACAGTTTAAGAAGCCAGGCCTGGTGCTCACACAAAGTGCTACCCTTATTTCTACACATATGTGAACAAAAGTGTGCACACATACATGCATACACATAGTCCATCTTCACTTTTACATACACGTGCACACACATAAAAATGCACACTTTTACACATGCACATACAGTACAATCCACACATCTATACACATGCATACACACACCATGTACATACAGTGCCATCCTCACGTCTACACACGAACATAAAAGTCAGACGTATGTTCTCACTGGTGCTGGGGGCCACCAGGGCCATCCCAGTGATGCTTGGGACCTCCAGGGCTGTAAATGGTGAAGTTCAGGAGGGGCCACGTGGGATAAATCCAGGGCTGGGTGTGTGCTTTGGTGACCCCTGTGACCATCTCCCCTTCCGCTCCCCCTGATTCCAGAGCTGGGGAAAATGGGGGTGAGGTTTACAGAAGTAAAACAGTTTCCCCACCACCCCAACCCTCCCCCCGCAGGATCTGCCCTCACATCTGCTTTAAGGAGACCACATTCAAGCAGCAGCAGCAGCAGCCCCCAGGCCTGTCCCAAGCCCCGCCCAGCTCCCAGCAACTCCAAGTGAACCAGAGAAGACAGGCCAAGCATTAGGGATCCTGCAAGACAAAGGCGCCAACAGTTCCCCATCCCACCCCACCCCCATTCCCAGCATGTCCCTTATCACAGCATGCCTGGGGCCTGCTCCTCCCTGAGACTCCCGGGGTCTACTTCAGCCCCAAGATTGACAGCACAGATGACACTGCCCACTCACCTAGTGCAGGAGGAAGTAGTGGTTCTCGGGGACCGGGTTCTGGCAGAGCTCTATGACCAGGCTCTCCCCGTCCGCCTCCACTGCCAAGCACCCCTCGGGCTGGTGGGTGTTGTAGCGGATCTCCTTCTGGGATGTATACTCGAAGAACTGCAAAGGAGCCGTCCGTGGGCAACGGTTACTGTCGGCCATGGAGGAATGGACGGACACCAGGCGGGATCAGAGCGCAGGGGCCAGGCAGAGAGCCTGAGTGTCCAGTTTTGAGGGTCTGTGAGTGTCTGGCCAGAGTTCCCCAAGGCCCCCTTCTCATGCTCTGCTTCTTCCCTGAGTGTTTGAGACCCCACGCTGTCCCTACCCTTGAGCTGGCCAGAAAATGGACGGTCTCAGTAGCCGAGTGGGCAACTCTGAGGCCTGAGCTGCCCTTTCTCTTCTCTGGGCTTTTCTGCCTCTTCCCGGCAAACTTGAGGGAGTTTGATCCAAAGCAATGGCACTGTGGAATCACTAAAATGTCCTTTGCAGGCAGGAATTGCACTGCCAGGGAGAGGGCAGGCCTGGGTCACACAGGGAGACAGGGTGCTGGAATCCAGCCTCTCCGGCCAAGTAGGTGCCCTCCTGAGCCGACCCAGATCTGCAGGGTTTTCCTTTTTCTTCCTCTAACTGTAGGTATTGGTGCACAGTTAGTCATAACTGCACAAACGGGTTTCTCTGAGTCCTATCGGGCACTGCTTGCTTCATTTTCTATTTCCCAGATGTTCTACAATGTCTTGCCTGCACGGGAGAGCCTGGCAAGCTGCCCGTGATGTATTCCATATGCCAAACACAGTAACAATAAAGTCTCCAATGGAGACGTTACTGGGCCCACTTGAGCAAATCAATGAACAACGGGAGGACAGTGACCGTGAGCTACAATGAGTCTGTATTACCTTTGCAGGCAGAGAATCAGTTCATCTCACCGCTCCAGATTACATGGTGCAGGGCCAGAGGGATAATACAGTGGAGAGGGTGTTAGCCTTGCTGACCTGAGTTCAATCCCTGGCATCCCATATGGTCCCCTGAGCACTGCCAGGAGTGATTCCTGAGTACAGAGCCAGGAGTAACCCCTGAGTAACCCCAGGTATGACTCAAAAACAAAAATAAAAACAAAAAAAGAACTACATGATGTGAACCACCAGGAGGTCAAAAGGCACAATATTCCCAAAGAAGACATCTGAGCATGTATGGATCATGCAAGAGGAAACAATCAAATATAAACCATAAACATACAATGATGACAATTAGTTAAAACTAATTTTAACTTGTCAACACAAACTTGGCCAAGAGCATTGATTCATTCGAATGCCTAACAACCGGAATTGGACGTTTACATTTGAATGATGTGGCTCACTGCCTGCAGTTTCTATCTTTGTTGTCTATGCACCAACATCTCATTATGATGAAAGAGAAATCGAGAAGTTCTACATGGAGCTAGAGAAGTTCTATAAAGAAGACCACACCTTCTACAAGATCATTGTGGGTGATTTTAATGCCAAGATAGGACCGAGAAGATCAGCTGAAGAACTTCACATCGGGACCCATGGCCTAGAATGGAACGAACAGGGTGAGAGACTGTCTGAGTTCATCATGTCGACCAAGACCATTCATGGTAACTCACAGTTCCAGAAGGCAGAATCTAAACGATGGACATGGGAGTCTCCCGGTGGACGATTCCACAACGAAATAGACCACATCATATTCAATCGACGGTTTTGCCTGACTGATGTCGCTGTTGTCCCAAAATTTCGAACGGGATTGGACCACCGTCTCCTTCGTGCAAAATTCTACTTCACAGAGCGGGGAGAAAGGGCTGCAAAGTTCAAAAAGAGAACTCCCAGAATGACCACCAACTGGGAACTCTTTGGTACTATTGCGGCAACATGGGAAGATGCCATTGTTGACAACATTGACGAGGAATACGATCGACTGGTTCAGCACCTCCATGAATGTGCGAGGAACGCCAAGAGAGAGATAGCCACAAAAAATCACCTATCTTCAAAAACTCTTGAGCTAATTCGCCAGCGTGGTTTGGCGCGTGCCTCAGGCAACCGCAAGCTAACGTCCAAGCTCCCAAAGCAGTGCAGAGATGCAATCAAGGAAGACCTCAAAGAGAAAAGAGCAGAAGTACTGGGAGATGCGGCAGAAGCCGGGAAAAGTATTCATAACGCCCGCCTGTCCTTCGCCAACTACAAGACCAAGATGACTGCCCTCCAATGTCCTGATGGATCCATCACATCCTCCAAAACGGCAATGGAGAAGATTATCTATGACTTCTACTCAAATCTCTTCGACAGCCATGTCCACTTGCCAACATACCAAATTCTACAGGATGGATATGTCGTTCCCAATGTTCTCCCTTCCGAAATCCGACACACCATTTCGTCGGTAAAGAAACAAACAGCACCCGGCCCAGACAAGGTCAGACCTGAACACCTGAAAAACCTGCCGTCAGTACTCATCAATACACTGGCTCGGCTCTTCACTCGCTACCTGTCTGAATGCAAGGTTCCGTCCCAATGGAAAACCAGCAGGACCGTACTACTGTTCAAGAAGGGAGACATCCATGACATTGGCAACTATCGCCCGATCTGCCTATTGTCTGTCATCTACAAGTTGTTCACTCGAGTCATCCTAAATAGGATTGGCAGAACACTAGATGAAGGACAACCATGCGAGCAAGCCGGGTTCCGCAAAGGATTCAGCACCATCGACCATATCCACACGATAACCAAGCTCATTGAGGTTTCTCGGGAGTTCAAGATGCCGCTTTGTTTAACGTTCATTGATTTAAAGAAGACCTTTGATTCTGTTGATACGGAAGCAGTCATTGAAGCCCTAGCCAATCAGGGCATTCAAGCCCAATACATCAGGATCCTCCATGAGCTGTATTGCGGATTCACTACCAGGATCTCACCATTCTACAAAGAAGTGATCGTTGATGTCAAGAGAGGGGTGCGGCAGGCTGATACCATTTCACCGAAACTCTTCAGTGCCACCCTCGAGAACATCATGCGACGACTGGAATGGGAAGGAATGGGAGTGAAGATAGATGGTCGGCAACTACACCACCTCCGCTTTGCTGATGACATTGTTTTAGTAACACCAAACATCAGCCAAGCAGCACAAATGCTGGCTGACTTTGACCGTGAGTGTGGAAAGTTAGGACTACAGCTGAATCTTACGAAGACAATGTTTATGAGAAACAGCCTCGTACCTGATGCCCTAATCGCTCTCAATGGAACGACCATCTCCGAATGCAACAGCTATGTGTACCTAGGTCGAGAGATCAACATGACAAATGACCTGGCACCCGAGCTGCGCAGGAGCAAGAGAGCGGCTTGGAACGCCTTCAAGAACGTCGAAGAAATAGCTAAGAGGATGAAGAACCTCCAGCTCTGGGCACATCTCTTTGATTCCACTGTTCTTCCTGCATTAACATATGCCTCAGAGACCTGGGCCCTACGCAAACAGGATGAGAACTCTATTCAGGTCTCTCAAAGAAGAATAGAAAGAGCTATGCTTGGAATATCACGTTTCACTCAAATGAGAGAAAGAATCCGGAGTTCCGACATCCGTCGACGATCAAGAATCAGGGACACTGTCTCATTTGCCAAGGTGTCAAAAATCAGATGGGCTGGTCACGTAATGAGGTTTAAAGACGACCACTGGACTAGAGCTGTTACCGACTGGATTCCACAGGATGTCAAAAGACCGCGTGGCCGCCCACCTACCAGATGGTCAGACTTCTTCGTCAAGATCATGAACAATCGGTTTGAAGCCCTTCATGTTCCTGGAGCGAACAGATGCCATTGGGCTACACTAGCACGCGACAGGGACAAATGGAGACGTTACTGGCGCCCGCTCGAGCAAATCGACGACTAACGGGAAGTTAAGTGATTAAGTGATTAAGTTAAAACACAGAATCCAGAGTCTGTGCATAGAGGAAAGAGGGACAAGAAACTCACCTTCATCCTAAGGCGGTTTCTCCAGGTCCTCTCGGGCACACTTGCTTCACTTTCTAGTTCTCAAATATTTTACAATGAGTCTCTATTACCTTTACAAATTGAAGAGGTCAAATATTCACTTTTTAAAAAACACACATAGAGGTGCTGAAAGTAGATAAAGGACCAAACATAATGGCCTCTCAGTATCTGTATTGCAAACCATAATGCCCGAAAGTAGAGCGAGAGTAAGAAGGAAATTGTCTGCCATAGAGGCAGGGGATGGGGGTGGCAGGAGGGACACTGGGAACATTGGTGGTGGAAAATGAGCACTGGTGGAGGGATGGGTGTCTGATCATTGTATGACTGAAACTCAATCATGAAAGCCCTGTAACTGAATACCACAGTGATTCAACAAAAAAAAATTAAAATTAAAAAACAACAACACACATAGATCTTCCCCAATTTTCCTCTTTAAGAGGCTCCCAAGACCTTGAACCCAGGGGCCCCTGCTGCCTTTTTCCAGAGAGAAGCGTCACCTACCTGGTTCTGGCCCAGGCCATGACAGGTGTACAAAATGACCTGGTGCCCCACAATCTGGTTTTCATCAGGAGGATTATAGTCAAAGCAGAGTCCTTGCAGTCCTTTATTCTGGAGCTACCAAGAAACATAACGGGAGTTTCCAGTTCAGGTTTACACACAACTGAGTCAACCCAGGATGCTGTGGGAGGAGAAACAGCGAGTGAGGAGGGCCCGGCACAAGAGCCAGGCCCAAAAGTAAGAGCTTCTGGGACCTGAGCGATAGTACAGAAGGTCAGATGGCTGGCCTTGCACATGGACAAACCCCAGCAACCCACAGGACCTCCTGAGCACCGCCAAGAGTGATCCCTGAGCACAGAGCCAGGAGTAAATCCCTGAGCACCGCAAGGCATGGACCCCACACCAAAAGTAAACAAATAAATAAATAAGAGCTTCCTTAATTTATTCATTTTGGATTTTTTGGGGGGGATTGAAGGAGGGGAGTATCACATCTAGCAATGCTCAGGGCTTACTTCTGGCTCTGTGCTCAGAGATCACACCTGGTGGTGCTTGGTGGGGAATCCTATGGGGTGCTGGGGATAGTGCCCAGTTTGGTCACGTGCAAAGGCCTGAAGAGCATCATGCCCCATCATCCCCTCCAGGGCTGCGCTTGGACAAAAGAGAAATGCAGTGGGACGGGGTGGGGTGGGGACGCAGGAGACAAAGGCAGGGCGAGCAAGAGTGACACACTCCCTGGGGCAGGCAGCCCACGACGGCCTCCTGATCCTCTCGGCACCTCGGGAGACCTGGACACTTCACAGTGGCCAAGGATTCAAACGTGTTCAGAGCCCGCTGGGTGCTGACCAAAGGGCTTCCAGAATGGGGGAAGCAGCGTCGCCCAGCCGTGCAGCCCAGGAGAGGGGAGTCTCTACCTTGGCGTGATTTCTCTCCAGAGTGAATGGCACTGGGGCCGGAGAGGGTCTGGGGGGTGAGGGCACTTGCCAGGCAGGCAACCAAGCCCCAGTCTGATGCCAGCACCATCATGAGTCACCACTGAGCACCACCGGGTGAAGCCCAACCCCAACCCCCACAGCCCAAATACTTCCCATTTGTGTGCAGGGGTTTGGGGGGGAGCGGAACGGGTGTTTAGGCCATACTTCGAGGTACTCAACGGCCACTCCTGACGGTGTTCAGGGGACCACGTCTGGCACCGGGGATCAAACTAGGGTTGGCCACACAGAGGGCAAAGCTTAAACTTAACCCCGGGACTATCTCTCTGCCCCCCCCCCAAAGATTTCTTTTCTCTTTCTTTTGGTGAACAACAGAAGTGACTCTCCTTTTCCTGCCCCATCCTCCTCTACCCCCCCCTCCGGTCCCCAAGGACCCCTGAGGTGGGAATGACTGACTGGCCCAGACACTGAGACTCGGGTGTGAAGTGATGTGATGGGTAGAGGTGGTGTGGAGAGTCCAGGCAAACCTCAGTCTCCTCATGCACAAAATCACAGGCAGAACCTGACTCTCGTTCACATGCTCCCACGTGAGCGAGCTGAGAGCCAAACCCAGCCGGGGGAGGGGAAGAGCCGGGGAGAGGGCCGGGGCTGGGGAGCCCAAGGGACCCCATCGAGGACCTGCCTCATGCAGGGCGTGGGGACCCTGCTGGCAGCCCCCCCGGGCGCAGCCCTCTCACCATCCCGAAGCAGCCGGGCCGGTCCTCGGGCACGTGCAGCTCAGGATACACGTTCTCCAGGAACCACCTGAAGTCCTTACACTTGAGCTTCTCACAGAGCTGCTGCCTCTCGGTCACGTCTCCAAAGGACTCCTAAGGGGGGTCCATGCGGTCAGCCTGAAGGTCCTCCACAGTCCCACACTCCACCCCACCCCAGTCCTGGGGCGTGATGATGCCCCCAAGCCCTAGCTGTGCAGGTGTGGGTGGGTGCCCAGGGAGAGAGCTGTGGCAGCCGGGGTACCACCCCCCCCCACACACACACACATGCGCGCGCACACACACACAGGGTTCCCCGTTGCCCAGCTCCAGCCTGGGGAGACCCAGTGCACCTCGATGGTCATGAAGCGCCTAGGACATGATGGGAGCCCCAAACTCCAGCCCTGTGGGCATCCCTGGACACACAGCACTTCTTCAATGGGACAGATTGAGGAAGGCTGGCTGAGGTAGACACGCATGCAAAGCCAAGAGACAGGGCTAGGATGAGATGAGATAGCGCACATATGCATGACCCATCCCCGGCACCACACACACACACACACACACACACACACACACACACACACACACTCACACACACATACATACTCTGTGTTGAAGAGATAGCTCAATGGTCAAGAGCACATACAGGAGGCCCAGGTCCGAGTCCCGGCACGGCAGGGAACCCCCAGCACTGAGTCAAGGGTAGAACCCAAGCACCTCCAGGTGGGGGTCATAAGTAAACAGGAACCAGAGAGCTCGTGCAAAGGGCAGGGCGCTTGCCTGGCAGGTGGCCACCCTGCCCTGGTCCCTGCCACCTCATTTGGTTCCCAGAAAAAAAATCACCAGGCATGATCCCTGAGTGCAGAGCCAGGAAGAGGCCCTGGCGACCATGGCATGGGGCCTGACCTCCCCTCCACGACAGAAATACCCACGATCTGAAGAACATGCAATGGCTGGAGGTAGCTGAAACCCAGCCCTGATTTTCCTAGAAGCAACAAGCTCAGGGTCCCCCAACCTGGGGTGGGCAGCATGAGCTGCTGGCTGTGATTCTCAAGGCCGGGTGGGCATCAAGAGACATCAGCAAAGGGTCATCACAACCATGGAGGAATCAAGTAGTCCCCCACTGGCCTCACCAAGGCCCACCGCAGCTTCTCCCTCCGGAAGTGGATGTGCGGGCACGGAGGGTAGAGGGAGGACGGAGGAGGAAGGGGGGGTTGGTTCTGAGGAGGCCTGCAGGGGTGAAGGCAGACGGGGCGGGTGGGAGGAGCTCACCAGGCGTGCGTGGGGGTTGCGGTGGTAGAAGAGTTCCTTGAACTCATCCAGCCACACTTCGGCAGCGCGGACACTGTTGGCCAGAGCCTTTTTGCGTGAGTAGGGAGCTTGCTTGGGGAAGACGTGGCCGACGTGTGAGCAGGGGTGCGTTTCCAGTGTCCCGCCGCACTGCCAGATCTGCAGGGCAGAGGAGTGGCTGGGTGAGGGGAGCGGGTCCATCGGCACGGCTGTCCCTTGAGTACAGAGGCCGGGCACCAAGCATCACCCAAAGAGACACTGCGGAGACCGCACCCTCCAGGGCATGAAAAAGGCGGCCCCCTCCACCCCACTCCTCACCCCACCGCCCATCCCTGCCTCACCCACCCCCATGCACACACGGGCTCCAGAGCACAGCCAAAGAACAAGGGAGCGGCCCAAGGTCTAGCCACCAGAACCAAGACCACAAGCCCATGCACTGTTTGTTCATGCGTGGGGCTCACAGGGCCCAGAGTGGGCCCGGCCAGGAGCTTGTGGGTGGGTGACAGTCCACATGGGCGGATTACCTGATCTCCTAGCCAGAGAAGAGAGGAAAGCAGCTAGGAAGGAGAGAAGTTGGGAAGGGAGAAAGAGGAACTGCCAGACACAGGAAGAGCAGCCTGGCACCTGGAGGAGAGGCAGAAAGACCATTAAAAGCACACCTCAAAACCCAACAAGGTAGACTCATGCAAGGGCAGAGGGGTGTGAACCACCACACCCCACCACTGGCCCCCAGGATGAACCATCCAGAAAAGCAGCTGAAGGGCTGGAGACACAGTACAATGGGGTTGGGCACCTGCCTTGCATGTACCTGACCCAGGTTCAGTTTCTGGCAGCTCCGACGGTCCCCTGAGCACCGCCAGGAGTGAGCCCTGAGTTTGGGTTTCAACCAAATTCAAAAAGAAAATTTTTTTTGAAAAATAAGACCCAAAAGGACAGTAGCTTACGATGGAGAAGGAAAGCCCTGCGTGGAAGATAAAATTTCTATTTGGTTCACTCTTTATGCAAAGCTGGGATGTTCTGTTACTTAAAAAAAAATTCCAGGGGCCAGAACACTAGTACAGCGAGTAGAGCATACTGCCTGGCATGGGGCCAACCCAGGTTCAATCCCCGACATCCCATAGGGTCCCTCGAGCACAGACAGGAGTCATCTCTGAGGGTAGAGCCCGGTGTATCCCCTGAGCCCCACTGTGTGTGGCCCCAAAACAAAACAAGCAATCAGAAAAGATGAAAAAAATTCTCACAAAAATTAATCAGAGGGGCTGGAGCGATAGCACAGTGGGTAGGGCGTTTGCCTTGCACGAGGCTGACCCAAGTTTGATTCCCAGCCTCCCATTTGGTCCCCCAAGCACCGCCAGGAGTAATTTCTGAGCACAGAGCCAGGAGGAACTCCTGAGCATCGCAGGGTGTGACCCAAAAAGCCAAAAAAAAAAATTAAACAGAAAATTTTAACATCATCAAAAAGCATGACCAATGGCATATGGTCTTGAAATGTAATATGCCAGACACAAGTTCATTGGGAATCCCACGGAAATGGCGGGGGTTCTCACAGAACTGTCACTCGGGGATTCTGAGGGCAGAGGGCGGCCTCAGGGGGTTCACTCGTTTAGAATGTGACTCTTGCTCCTGCCTGCACGTCCAGCCACTGAACCTGACCCTTTAACAAGCTCTCCCGAGAATTCTTCTCGGTGTCAAACTCTGAATGTCACCCTGCTATCTACATACAGAGATGACTTCCTAAAGAGCTCAGCAAGCCCGGCGACCAAAGGTGGACCAGGAGGCAGGATGCTGTGTCTGGGGCCAACCTCGGCCCAGGGCAGCAGAGGGAAAGAAAAGAATCAGGGGACCTAGGAGGTTCCTTCCCTGCCTCCTGCTTTTCTAGTTAAAAGCACGTTCTGTGAGAAGGTCAGATGAGAGAAGCACATATATAGGCTGTCCACGTGTCCACTCTCAGGACACTGGACAAAAGGCCAAGGCGGGGGAAAGCCCAACAGGTTTTCATGAAATCCAGAGAGACAGAGGCATAGAGAGAGAGAGAGAGAGAGAGAGAGAGAGAGAGAGAGAGAGAGAGAGAGAGAAAGAGAGAGAGAGAGAGACAGACAGACAGACAAGCACGGCTACAGAAAGAGAGACAGACCCGAAAGGAGAATTCGAGGTTTTCTCCGCCCCAAACTTCCATTCCTGTATCATAAGACCCCAGATACTGAAAATATTTCTTACTCACAGCAAACAGCCCACCAGCCATTGTCGGGGACCTGGAAGAGTTGCAACACCTGCGTCTCAGTGCCAGCCGCAGGAACCCTTACCCAGGCCTGATCTGCCTTCATCAGTCTGGGAGCACTGGTGGTGGGGGGGCTCTGCTGGGAGTCCTAGCTGGGGAAGCTCCCAGACCCCTCCAAATAATCACAGAACTGCCTGTGATGCATGTGCTCTCAAGGGGTCAAGGGCAGGGACAGCTGTTTCCAGGGCGGAGAGGGTACAGGCCCGGGGCGTGTCCAGTATAGAGGAATGAACGGTGCTGGGAAGGCCTCAGCATGGGCAAAGTCTAAGCATGAGAGGACCCCGGCAGCTGCAGATGGACCCGGAGAGAGGGCGGAGAGAGCACATGGCTGGGAGGGTGGCGGGGTGGGCGTTGGTGGTGGTCTCACAGCAGAGCCCAGGCACTCACAGATGCAGCTGGGGTCTGCTGGAGGCCATGAAAGATGATTCTAGCACATTTTCCTGAAGCCCTCGATTCCCCCAACCCCACTGAGCAGGCATGGCATCTTCCCCGGCCCCCAGAGGTGGCTCAGGTCGAAAGCTGGAAGGGAAGCACCCCAGAGTGCAGATGTGGGTGTGGGAAACTGGTGGCAGCCGGGTCCCTGTGGTGGCACTGGGGGGCCCTCCCAGCACTGCAGGCTCAGAGTACACGGGAAAGGTCAGTGGGACTCCTTGGTGGGGGATGGAAGAACAGGAGGGAGGGAAGACCAAGGAAGGGAGAGAAGAGGGAGAAAAGGGAGGGAGAGAAGGAGGGAGGGAGAGAAGGAGGGAGGGAGAGAGAGAGGGAGGGAGAGAGAGACGGAGGAAGGAAGGAAGGAAGGAAGGAAGGAAGGAAGGAAAGAGGGAGGGAGGGAGGGAAAGAAAAAAGGGAGGGAGTGAGGGAGGGAGGGAGGGAAGGAAGGAAGGAAGGAAGGAAGGAAGGAAGGAAGGAAGGTAGGAAGGAAGGAAGGAAGGAGTGGGGGAGGGAAGGAGAAAAAAGGGAGGGAGGGAGGGGTGCCAGCATGAGAGCACATTCACATGGCTTTAGGGTATAAGTCTAGGGAACAGGGTGACTGAAACACGCAAGAAAGCTGAGATGATGTGTGGAGTTCATGCACAGTTCAATCAGCTAATCAGTGGCTGAATAAATAGCAGTACTCCTACATTTAAAAAAAACTGAGATGAGACTGTGGGAGGGGCAGGCAACTGACCATGAAGCTGCTGCATGTGTGCATGTGTGTGGGTTTGTGCAAATGTCTTCATATGTGTGTACTGGGGGAGGGGGTTGGGGGGGAGGGAGTATGTCTCGACATCACAGGCTGCATCTGTGACCTGACACATGATCCCTCCTCCTCTGCCTCAGTCTCTAAATCTGCTGTGTGAGGGGCAATGCCAGCGGCCCCCCAGTGGCCACTCCAGCAATCCGGGTGCCACCCTCAATCCGTCCTTTTTCCCAGATGTCAATCAGCTTCTCCAAATCCCCCCACCGCCCCTGAGGTCCCCCCACCTCCCAGTCTCAGCCTCCGTCTTCTCCTGCGCCCGCATTTCTGACGGGGAAGTCTGCAGAGCCTCCTAACACATGCCTGGTCCCTGCACCCCATCCTGTGCCCACCAGCTCCCTCACCACGAGGCACCAGGAGTAATTCCTGAGTGCAGAGCCAGGAGTAACCCCGAGCCTCAGCAAGTGTGGCCCGAAAACTAAGCCAAACAAATGAAACAGAACGCGAGCAGCCGGGCTCAGACCCAGGCTCACCCACTGACCAACGCTGGCTCTCGGCCGCCCTCACCCTGCGCCCTCACCCATCCCCTAACTGGCTTCAGTCCCACAGAGGCCTGCCACTAAGTGCTCAGAGTCGTCACCATGGAGTCGCCACCTGACCCAGAACCCCACGCCCACTTGGACAGCCGGAAGTGGCAGCCAGCCACCTCGGGCCCTGGAGACTGGCACCAGTCCAGGGGGCAGGGCACCTGTGATATCAGTCCTCCCCGGGGCATGGCACACAACTCCTGAAAGGCGGACACACCCACCGGAGGTGAAGGGGCCAACAAAACCGGCCACGTTGACACAAGGCAGAATTATGGGTTCCCAAGGCAAACATCTCCGGACCGGCAAGAAGGCAAACGCGAAGGGACAAAGCGTGGTGGCCTCATTCGCGTGAGGCGTCTGGAAGGGGGAAAGTTTTTCTGGGGGTGTGTTAGAGGCCATGGAGCCGTTAGGGGCTGGGGTTGACACACACCGCCTGACGGTTGGAGAGATTCTGCGAGGTCGAGGGAAAAGCGCGCTTGAGTCTCCCAAGTTATATATTTAAGAACGGTCAGAGCAGTACATTTTAGGATACATACTTCACCCTATTTTTATTTATCTTGTTTTGGCTTTGGCTTTGGGACCACACCCGGCAATGCTCGGGGGCAACTTCTGGCTCTGCACTCAGGAATCACTCCTGGGGGTGCTCGGGAAACCATAACAGGGTGCCTGGGGGATCGATCCCAGGGCAAACTCCTGCAAGGCAAGCGCCCTACCCACTGAACTCTCTCTCCAGCCCCCTCACCTTTGTTTTTAAATAAACAAAATAGGCCAATGAATATGAACCCCACACTTAGAGCGGGGTGGGTGTAGAGTAAAAAAATAATCAGCAGATGCTTTAGAACAAAACCAGGTGGGGCCCCAGCGAAGCATCCCTGCCCTCCCCCCGGGCGTCTGCTGCAGTTGTTGGGGGGGTTGTTACGCTCCCAGCCAGTCCTGACCTGATGACAACGATGGGGGACCGCATCCGCTTCCGCTCCCGCTCAGGGACCACGTGCCACATGAACACCAGCCGCCAGTCAAAGCCACCGATCTGAGGCTCTCCGGAGTTGCCCAGGTACTCAAAAGTGTTCCAGTCAATAACGTCGATCACGGGGCACACCACCGCCGGTTCCTCCTCCCCGATCCTGCAGTGACCACACACACACACACACACACACACACACACACACACACACACACGCACACACACGCACACATACGCACACCACCCAGATGTGGCCAGGACCGGGGTGACCAGGAACAGCCCCCCATCCAAGCCGTGCTCGCTCCCACTCCACTCAGGGCCAGTGTGTGCCCTCAGGTCCCCTGCTTCTGGACCCTGCCTGGCATCGGTCCCCAATGCCACCCTCCAGCCTGGGATTCTGAGGGAGAGCGAGACACGATGATGGCTCTGCTCTCAGCCCCTGGCACTGGCCTGGGCCCCTGGGAGTCCAGCTGCCGGGACCCTCTTTGAAGCTGGGGAAGAGAAAGAAGCCATGAAGGGAGCCAGAGTGGGTGAGGACAGAGATGGGGAGGGCAGAGAGCAGCAGGGTGAGGCTGGGGGCCAGATGATGGACACCCACGCCTGGGAGAGGAGACAGTGGGTGCGTGTGCTCCAGAGGCCAGCTGCGCAGACCCTGAACCCCTCCCCCCGCATCCTTGTCCACGCCACATGGGGGCACAGCCCACCCGGAGGAATCTGGGGGTAGCTGACAATAGTGATGCAGCATCAGGAGGGAGGAAGTGGAGGGAGTAAGGTGGGTCTGGGGGAAGGGCAGCCTGGAGTGGTTCCCCTCCCCCCTGCATTTAAAACCCTTTCAAACAATGATACTTAAAAGCATAGTTTAAGACTACAGGGGTAAGAAGATAAAAATAACCCAGGCGAGGGCCATCTGCTTCCTGTCCATGATTCTGCTCATGGTTTCCTAGTGACGCTAAGGAAGGTGGGGGCCAGAGACACAGGACCCCAGGGAAGGTGCCTGCCCGACAGGTGGCTGCCCTGGTTCAATCCCCGGCACCCCATGTGGTCCCCTGAACACCACCAGGAGTGATCCCTGAGCAGAGCCAAGAGTAAGCCCTGAGCACTCACGGGTAAGCCCCTTCACACACACATAACCCCCCCCCAAAATAAAATGCAGGGGCTGGAGCCATAACACAGTGGGTAGGGCATTTGCCTTCCACGCGGCTGACCCGGGTTTGATTCCCAGAATCCCATATAATACCCTGAGCACCACCAGGAATAATTCCTGAGTGCATGAGCCAGGAGTGACTCCCTGTGCATTGCCGGGTGCGACCCAAAAAAGCAAAAAATAAATAATAAATAAATACATAAGAGAAATTACTGTGAATCACCATTTCTGTGGGTCCCTTCAGACTTGAGGAGCCCCAGGCAACACAGGTACTGGATGACCTGGGAAAGTCAGCCCAGCATGAAGGAAAGACGACCAAAATGTGCTGCCTAGGGCTGTGATCTGATAAGATCCACACTAATCTGTTCTTGGCCTCTCTGCCCATGGCAGCACTTTTCGACTCAGGCACCTGACCAGCGGCAGTAAAAGCAACTCCCCTGCACAAGTAAGCCGTGGGTACAGCAGCGCCTGATGCCCTCGAAGGCTCCCAGCCCAGGGTCCCTGATCATGTGACCAGGGATGGAGCCGTGGCCTGAGACTGGGGGACGGGGCACCCAGGCCGAGCCCGAGGCCCACGGAGCTTGGTCTCCCGTGTTCCCACTGGGCACCGCCCACGCACCTCTGCAGCAGCGGCTCCAGCCAGCCCTCGTGGCACTCGCAGTGGCAGTCCAGGAAGGTGAGGATGTCGCCCTTGGCCCCCGAAGCCCTGAGTAACCGGGCGCGCACCAGGCCCTCCCTCTTGGTGGCGCGGATGAGGTGCACCTTGGGCAGGTGGGCTTCCAGGCGCTCCTTCAGGTGCTCTGGGGAGGAGAATGGGGCAGCTGGCTCACTCCCGCCCTGCCCGGGCAAGGGAAGGCTGGGATGGAGAAATCTAGAACCACCAGCAACGTTCCCACGTGCCCCCCTTGGACCCAGACGCCCAGGTCTCAGGACTGTCAGGACTTGGTGCCCAGCTGGCTCTATCGGCATCGCCTCACGCTCACCTGCCCTGCACTCTGTCATGGGCAACGCTAAATGACCCCGAATACTCTTCCCACGATTTCCAGCCGAGTACATGGCCACCACCCCAAAGACATCAGTCCCCCAGGTTAAGATGTGTGATCCCAACGCCCCACCTGGTCCTCTGAGCACACCAGGAGTGAGCCCTGAGCACAGTGCCAGGAGCAAGCCCGGAGAACCGCCCAGCAGGCCCCAGAACAAACAAGCGAGACTACAGTCCTGAGCGTCCCCTGCAGCCAGGTGTGGCCAGGTGACTATTCTTCTGCAGGGTGGGAGGTGAGACCCCTACTAGGTGCTCCCCAAGTCCCCTGGACACCCTGCAGGACAGGTGGGAGTGAGAGAGAGAGGGGAGGGGCCAGGCTGGGGCAGCCCAGGGAGCACAGCACCCCAAAGAAGGCGAGTGTTCACCCCTGCCCCCACCCCTGGCCCCCACACCTGCCTCCACACCTGCCCTCACACCCTCCCTCACAGTTGGCCCCCAACACCTCTCCCCCACCTCTGTCCCCAAGACCTCTCTCTCACACCCACCCCCCAACACCTGCCCTCTACACCTGTTCCCCCATGCCTATAGCCCATACCTATCCCCCACACCTGTCCCCCACACCTGCTCCCACACCTGCCCTCTACAGCCATACCCCAACTGCACGGAGACGTTCCCTGTTATCTCCTGTAAATCACTGTTATCTAGAGCCTCACAGAGAACAGCCCAGCACAGCTTTCAATCAGAACCCGTCCACAGCGAGAACCAGACAGAGCTCAGAGGCAAGAGCAGGGGAGGGGAGGATGGGGGTCAAGGGAGGGCGGGGTGGGGGGAGGGGAGGTCAGGGCAGGGAAGAGGGGAGGCCAGGGCAGGGTAGAGGGGAGGCCAGGTACCTCTATCGCTGAAATCATCCACCAGGATGACCTCCTCCAGCAGGATGTCTGGGGACGTCTCAAGGACACAGTAAACGTTGCGAATTAGGGTTGACCAAGCTTCGTTATAAAACGCGATGATCACGGACGTCGTTGGCAGACTTTCATAATTGTACTTCTGCTCTCTGCACCTGCAGAAGCAACACAGCCTCAGGGACGGGGAACACCCTGCACAGGGGCATCCCAGGCCTGGCACGGTGCTTCGAAGGACCTCTGAAGGGAACGTCAATCATGGTTGAGACCTGCCATAGAATTTGGTCGCATCTTCTAGAAATGCTTTGCCCTGGAGCCTCCTGGAAGCCTCGGTAGCTCCCAAGAAAGGTTGTACAACGACACCCAAAAAGCCTGAAGTCACTCTGGTAAGGGCAGGCTGGGTCTCCCTATAAGTCGTACTGTTGACATGGCCTCCAGGGCCAGATTGCCCAATGATGAACCTGGCTCAGATCCAATGCTACAGGGCCATCCCTGGGCCGGGATGGGATCCCCCAGAGCCAAACTTGATGGTGCCCAGGAGGCAGGCAGTGTCCAAGGAGGCACTTGGGTCTTTTCACACGGTCCCCTGACTCTGAGCTCTCTCCCTGCTCTGAGGTTGTGTATTTAAGCTGGGCAGCAACGTTCACAGTTTTGCCACCCAAAACCTAGGCTGGCTCCAAAGACAGGAAGACGGTTCCATCCTCAGGCTGTGCAGGTTTCACCTCTGTCCACTCCCACTTCAACCGCACTGCCCAGCTTCTACTCAGCTCTCTCCTCCTCTGCCTGGCACTCTCCCTGCCCTCCTTCCAGAACCACTTGGAAAAATCCCTGTGTGGAGAACACCTGTCTGGGGTGTCCACTCCCTCCGACCGTCTCCCGTTCCTGCATACCACAAACTCATGTACCCTCCACTCATCCCCTCCTCCCACGCCCCAAGTCTCCTCACAGACACGTTTGACTCATGCGAGGCTTGGGGCTGGGGCACAAGAATGCTAGGGACACTGGTGGACACCACGGGGCAACCTTGTGGGGAGAGGAGGTTCGGGAACACGTATGCCTGGCTGAGAATCAAATCCATCTCTGATGGTGGGGCACAGGGTCACTGTGGGCTTGTGCTGTCTGGGGAGCCTGTGGGCAGTGAAGGGTTCCATTCTGGGGTGAGGCTCTGGGCAGAGAAATTCCATCCAGTCCTTGAGAGGTTTGGGAAATACCTGGAGGCTTGCAGGTCCTTTACCTGAGGCATGATCTGGCCACTAGGGGGCCTGGCACCCACGAAGCATTGGGGGCAAGGTTGGGGCTCTTCCCGGTGGACACTGCAGCGGGGGTGTAGACGCAACAGGCACCATGGGCATGTCATGCCATGTTCTGATCCATGGTGAGACCCCCACAGGACAGCTCATGCTTCATCAAGAAGCATGAGCCGTTCCCTGGCAGGACCCGCCCCACCCAATGCCACACACCCACACAGGCTGGGATGCATCCATTTGTAGAAACAATCTTGGAAACAGGACAGTGGCTGTCAGGGAGACTGATTCAGCCCTCTACCCTCTCTCTCCTCTGCCACCAATTCATGATCCCCTAAACCGTCCCAGGTAGTGCCTAGAACTCAGTTGCTGACTGTTCCAGCCTCCATCCTTTTCAGGACTTCCTTTCCCAGAATAGAAAAAATGCACTGGAGGAGGGGGAGCTCTCGGCTCAGACTTTTGCTTGGTCTGTAGCCCATGATTCTGTCTGCCAAGCCTAAGGGGAGGGAACCAAGTAGGCAACAAGAGGCAGAAGCGAAAAACTAGGCAGGACCTCTGAGACACCCAGTCTAGGAGGTGGACACGATGGATGAGTCAGGAATCACCAAATTTGACAAGAATCCAATGTGAGGTTTGCTCTGACAAAATGGTGACCAGAACCAAATGGCAACCGGCTGAGTGGACAGCAACATTCCTGGAGTCAGAGATCACCTTGTTCCAGGTGAGGAAGACAAGACATATCGCCCACCTGGTGACAGGAAGCCACCAGCTTCATTCCAGGATCCTTACCATTGACCCACGAAGAGATGACTAGGAACAGACCAAGACAACTCCAAAGGCCCCTTCATCTAACCCAGGGCGCGGGTGTACCATTGCCTCACCTGAGGTTCGGAGAGTCCGCCCGGGAGCCCCCCAGTAAGCTACTCCTATTTCCTTAACTTTATTTATATGTCTCTGTCCCTCTGTATGACCCGGACGGGGTTCCCAAATCTCTCACCGAGGAAGAGAGTGAGAGCAGTTTGCCCGAGCAGGAATGGAAGAGGCTCACGGGAACGCTCAAACAATGGAGCTTAGAAACTGGAGTCATCCCTGTGGGAGCACCTGAAAGCAGTAGGCACCAATGTATGTTAGATGAAAGTTGTTACTGCAGAATCGAGGTAGCCTGTTAACAACCTACATAATTATGCTCTGACCTGCTAATGCCCGTTTGGGGGTAGCTGGATAGAGCCTGCACACATGGAATACACTGGGATGCTTCTGGCAAACTCTTGGGTGCCACCTGTGTCTGGGTGAGACTCTGTCAGATTCTAAGAGGAAAAACTCCCAAGACAGTCATTCAATGGGAGAACAGGTCTCCCCACCGGCAAGCGTGGATAGGGGAGAGCCTCTGATCCCCACAGTCTCTCAGCTCCCCAAACCTCAAGGCAAACCTGACTTGGTGTTTCCAGAGCCCAGGGACCCAGAGGCAGGACACGGGGAGCTAAGCCCAGAGCCCCATAGAGGCTGCGAGAGGGTGTGCAGGACATGTGTGAGGTGTGCAGAACCGTGAGAGTGAATGGGCGACCCCAGGCCCATGGTGCAGGTAGAGGGGCAGGGCTATGAACTGGGCACCGAGGGGGTAAACCAGGAGCTGCCTGTGCCTGCCCTGGGCTGCCTTACCAGGAGTGTGACTCCCAGTAGAAATGTGACTGTCAGGAAGGGGCATGGCTGACCAAATTCCTGGAAATGACTGGAACAGGATGGCTCTTCCTTCTGAGGCTTTGCCATCTGGTCTGACACATGGATCTGGACACAATTCTTGTCACCAGTAGAGTGTCACTCAGCCAAGGCTGTCCCACCAGGTTCAGGCGTGCAGGAACAAAGAGGAGTCAGGGTCTGGTTCTCTATTTCATGGGGTCTGACCGTGCTGTGATGGTGGCAGTGGGACTTGTATTAGGGAACCTGATGGTCCACACAGAAGTGAGGCGCTATTCTCCTGGATCAGCTCTGTACAGACTCGGGGACACTAGAAACATGTTTCATCCACGGCCCCATCATGCTCCACTGATAACACACTGTCTTCCTGCCAGGGCAGGTGCCATGGAGAGGGACCCTGGCTGAGGGGACAGCACCTTGGACCCACCTGCTGCAGGAGCACTTTCAAGTTCTCATCCTGAGAAACTTGATGTGGCCACTAGGGGGCAAAGTGGGGTCTGTCCCTGGTGCCACTGCAGAGGGGAATGGGGAAACAGGCACCAGGGGCAGGGGAGGCCTTGGAGGTGCTGCAGTGGAAGGCAGGGCTCTGGGTGCTGCATCCTGCCCTCCCTCCTGGGGATGCATCCGTGATTGAGACCTTCAACCCTTGGGGTGGACTCTCCTGGGGTCATTGACAGGGGCAGGCAGGTGAAGCGTCTTGGCATGGTGACATGGCCAAGGCTTCCCACAATCTAGAAGCAACTGTCAACTACTGGCCAGACCTGCCCCACCCAGTGACACACACACCCACACAGGCCTGGGATAGATCCATTTATTGTAACAATCGTGAAAATCAGACAGTGGCAGTCAGGGAGAAAGCCCGCCTTCCTCCTTCCCCTCTTCTCAGCCAGCAATACAAAGTCCCCAAACAGCCCCAAAGAGTGTGTAGAATCCGGTCACTGTATGGAACCAGTGCCCAAGCTTCAGGGCTGTCGTGCGCAGAAACAGGACCCCACAATGGGGAGGGGAGAGCTGAGTTGTAACTTCTGACCTCCAAATCATTGTTTGCTAGTGCTGGCGGGATATAACTGCCATCCTGATCCCTCTGACCTTGTGGAGGGGGACATCTCGGCCCCTCTAATACCTGGGGTCTAGTGTAAGGGGACACATCGGCACCCCCCGATCCTGGCGTCTAGTGGTGGGGGGCATCTCTGGCCCCCCCCTCGATCAATGGCGTCTACTGGTAGGGGGAGGGATCTCTGCTCCCCCATCCCTGGCGTCTAGTGATTGGGGGAGCATCTCTGGCCCCACTGATCCCTGGCGTCTAGTGGTGGGGGGCATATCTGCCCCCCTGATCAATGGCGTCTAGAGGTGGGGAGCATGTCTGGCTCCCCTCGATCAATAGCTCTAGTGGTGGGGGGAGGCATCTCTGGCCCCCCCGATCCCTGGCGTCTAGTGGTTGGGGGGGCAAATCTGGCCCCCCCAATCCCTCGTGTCTAGTGGTGGGGGGACATCTCTGACCCCCCCATCCCTGGCATCTAGTGGTTGGGGGGGCATCTCTGGTCCCCACAATCCCTGGCATCTAGTGGTGTGGAGCCATCACTGCCCCCCCCCCGATCCCTGGCGTCTAGTGGTGGGGAGGCATCACTTGCCCCCCCATCCCTGGCGTCTAGTGGGGGGGGCATCTCTGGACCCCCCGATCCCTGGTGTCTAGTGGTGGGGAGGCATCACTGGCCCCCCCACCCCTGGCGTCTAGTGGTGGGGGGGCATCTCTGGCCCCCCCGATCCATGGCGTCTAGTGGTGGGGGGGCATCTCTGGCCCCCCCTTGATCCTTGCCCTCTAGTGGGGGGGGAATCTCTGGCCCCCCCCGATCCCTGGAATCTAGTGGGGGGGCATATCTGGCCCCCCCTTGATCCTTGCCCTCTAGTGTGGGGGGGAAATCTCTGGCCTCCCCCGATCCCTGGCGTCTAGTGGTGGGGGGCATCTCTGCCCCCCCCTTGATCCTTGCCCTCTAGTGGGGGCAGAATCTCTGCCCCCCCACCTGATCCCTGGCGTCTAGTGGTGGGGGGCCATCTCTGGCACCCCCATTTCCTGGGGTCTAGTGGAGGGGGAAACTGTGCCCCCTGATCCCTGGGGTGCCTTGGGATGGGGACATTTCTTACCCCACATCTCGGGGTCTAGTGGATGGAGACTTTACTGTCCCCCTGATCTCCCGTTTCTTGAGATGGAGAATAGTTGTGCCTTTGCCCTGATCCCTGCTCTTGCAGTGAGGGATATCCGTGGTTCTAGTGGAGGGAGAAGAGCAAAGGGCCAAGGCGGAAGGCAGAACTCGGGTGGCGTGGGGAGGACGGGTCTGGGCTAGATCAATTGGGTGAGAGTGGCAGCGTGCGTCGGTGCAGTAAAATCGAGGTGTCAGCGGGGTGTCAGGCTGCCAGTGCAGTTCTTGCTGACCAGCTGCGTTTTCTGGATTTTTGGCGGGTCGTTACAGGACCTGGGTCCGATGTGGGTGGACTCCTCTTCCTTAAGGACAGCAACAGGAGCGTCTCTGGATCTCACACAGGCCATGGTCCCTGCCCCCTGGGACTTGACTGACTCCTCCAGCTCCTGGACTCTGGCACTCCTCCTGCCTGGCCCCCTGCGCGTCCTCCTCTGTGGCCTCCAGCTCCTCACGTTTTGTGTCCAGGAGCACCTGTGTGTTGTTCGTCTCCACGCCAATCCCTTTGGACTGGATGGGATGTGGGGCAGCATTAGGGTCTCAACCAAGCAAGGGAGGTGGGGGGCTGGGGGTGGGGCCGCCTGGCTCCCCTCCCCAGTAGCCCCGCCCTCTGACCCACAGGGGCTTCTCCCTGTCACTCACCCTTTTCCGGGTCTCCTTTCCCTTTCACCAGGTTCTGCAGCTGCTGTTTCTGCTGCTGAGTCCCACAGAAGAGCACCTGGGGTGAAGGCACTAGCTGAGGAGGCAGGTCTAGGGCCTTCCTGCCCCAGAGCCCATGGCCCCTCTCTCACCTGGTCTCCCTCAGCTCCCTGATGGTGGCCTCCTCAGGGCCTGCTGCCTTGGTGGCACCTGCAGCAGCTGGTCTATGGGCTGTTTTTGCCGCAGCATCCGCTGGTACAGCTGCTCCTCCTTGGAGCCCAGGTGACTGCGGGCATCCAGGTGCTCTTGTCGGCAGCTATGTGCATTTCCAGGTACCAGCAGAAAATTCCCCCGGGAAGCCACTGGCACTGCACCTTTTCGTCATGCACCGACATCTGTGGGAGGTAGGACAGTGTCTGTGAGGACAGGCAGGAGGGCCGACTACTTCCCAGCCAGGAGATGCAGGGCTCAGACCCTCAGCCACAGGCCCCCATGGGGTCTTTGTCCCAGAGCCTAGGAGTTGGGTCTTCCTCTGCCTCGAACCCTGACTCCTACCTGGCAACTGCCAACTCCAGACCCCTCCGTGTAGTGTGGGCCAGTCAGTGCCACCACAGCCCTCAGTTAGGGCATTCTCACCTGTCCTTCCTGCCATCACCCAAGGCAGGCTCTTGGCCTCACAGGGGGTCTCACCAGCCCATTTCAGAGACCAGGAAAGTCACAGCCCAGAAGACTGAATGGTTATGCCCCAAGAATACCCCAGGGTGGAGGGGAGCTGATGGCCAGCAAACCCCTGCACCCTCTCTCAAAACTCTTCGTGTTCGGCAACTTTTCGTGGGCTCACAGTGAAGACAAGTTGGAATGATAGGTGATAATTGGAGATGATAGGAGACTCGCTCAGCTCCAAGACTGGGGAATGTTACCCAGACCCCTTCCACTGTTACAGAGACACAACTTGAGCCTGGCCGGGCTCCCGGCCGGCCACCCCACAGCCCTCAGACTCCAGGCGGCACTGTGCCCGCTTCTCTCACCCCAGCTCAGTCCCCTCAGCCCCCACTCGCATCCGCAGATGTTCTCCGGGTTCACCCGTTGTTCCTGGAACCTCCTGCCTCCACTTGTCCTTGGAAATGTTGTCAACGATCTGGCTGTTTCAAGGGCACCCAGAGGCCGGTAAACCTGAGAGGAAGCAGACAGTCAAGGACCCCAGACCTTCAACCCCACCCAAACTTCATGGTCCACAGCCCTGACTCTTGGTTCCTCCTGCTCATCTCGGGGGCTGCTCATTTCTCACCGCCATCTGCTGCTCCGGGCCCCTTGCTAAG